ATAATAATTGTTGGGTTGGATTGGAAAAATATTGAGAAAAAAATGTTGAAACAAAACTTACATTGTCGTATAACCTAAAAGTGTCAAAAAAGATGCTAATTTAAAAATTCCTGGAAGCCGTATTTATTTAAATTAAGGAAGGAAACTTATTCTAAATTAAAGCTCAAAGCTTTCTCTTTAAAATGATGTATAATAATTGATGGGTTGGATTGGAAAAACATGAAGAAAAAAAATATTGAAACAAACCTTACATTTTCGTATAACCTAAAAGTGTCAAAAGAGATGCCAATTTAAAAATTCCTGGAAGCCGTATTTATTGAAATTAAGGAAAGAGACTTATTCTAAATTAAAGCTCAAAGCTTTCTCTTTAAAATGATGTATAATAATTGTTGAGTTGGATTGGAAAAATTTTAAGAAAAAAAATGTTGAAAGAAAACTTGCATTTTCGTATAACCTAAAAGTGTCTTGTTGATTGAAATGTATATTATTACAAACCGGATATATCCAGGATTCGAATTAGGGATTAAACATTTCATACAATTATTAATCGCATTAAAATACATCACAACAATAAAGTTCAACATCTTATTATACTCACAAATTGGAAATAACCTTCAAGTTTCTCGAAAAGGGAATAATAACATCATTCTCAATTCAGTCTAAATTTACATGTATACGTGGAAACGAAATATTCCAGGGTTTCGTGTCTGTATGGATCTCTTTGTTCCCTTTTTCCTATTTCCTTCACTTCACGTTCCTGTTTCAGACGCTTCGTATTTTTAGATCTCTTTTTAACACGTTGAATGAAACAACAACAAACAATGAATTAAAAACGCATTTATATTTATATATCTATACGTAGAGATAAAAAACAACGATGTTTTTGATTTCAATTTCAATTTTAGGTCTGTCTCTCCGGGATAAAACCGATTTTGCCGCCGCAGACGTCGTGTTCCGACCTTGATGGAGGACAGATAAACAAGATTACCACCTTTGAGGCTTACCCTTTCGCCACCGTTTTAAGATTAAGGGTGTTACAGGTTTGTAACTTTTAAATACATCTAATAATAAAATAAATCAACACAAATAACGTTTTATATCCGTGATTTTTGGGTGAATTCGCCCGAATTTTCACAAACTCTTTGTATTCATCAACAAATTCATAACTTCCACTTTTTAGATTTGTTCCACAAAGACCGTTTAGTACCAAATTTCTTTTAAATCCTTTTGGGCATCGACTCCCAGGATTTCCTTCAAGATAAATCTCTTTTCCGTTTAAATTCCCTTCTTGTCCATAATTACAAATTAATTTATAAAAAACTTTTTTATCGACTTCGTAATGAACCCCTCCACACCCAACGTACCTCGTTTTGGCCCAAATCATTTGGCTAAACGATTTGGCAAACATCTTTTTTTCATCAAAAACCTTTTTGACGCCATCTCTTAAATGTTTGTACTCGTCAAACCAAAATTGGATCCCCATTTGGATCAATAATTTATTATCTAGCTCCGATTTTGTGATATGAATCAATTGGAACTCGTTTTGACCAATATTTCCAAATTTAAAACTTCTTTTACAAAAATCTACTTCTTCATTACATTTTTTGGCTAAACACATCGCGATGTTTTCTAATTCTTGATCGTAAGAAAGAACCATCATGTTTGCGACGGTTATGTTGTTTTCTTTGCCGATTGCGTAACGATGTCTGTACAAATTGTGCCATGTTAAAATGTAATATCGATCGGAATTGGAGAATTGTAGTTCGCCGAAATTTGTGTTTTTGCAAGAATCGTTTTGCTTACATTTATTTTTACATATCGCGTTTGGGATGGATTTGTTGCCGATGTAGCATGGTAAGTTGCAATAATCTTGGGGGGTGTAATCGGCAACTATTTGTGTTAATAATAATAAGAAGGAAAATAACATTTGTAATTAAAAAAAATTAAATTAATATGATCGTGACAGAAATGTCATTTAGTTTCCTCATTTTAAAAAAATCATAATAAATTGGAATTTTAATAAATAATTATGAAATTATCACCAATGATTAAAGAAATTATAAGCTTTCCAATGAAATAAACAGATTTTAAAAATATCGTTTAGTTCTTGAGATATTAATTTTTAAACGTCAAAATGACATTTACTCAGTTTTAGGGTAAAGCAATTATTTTCACTCAATTTCAAAAAATCATAATAAATTGGAATTTTAATGGATAATTATGAAATTATCAGCACTTATTCTACAAATTATGAGGTTTCCAATGAAAGAAACGGATTTTCAAAATATCTTTTAGTTTTTGAGATATTAATTATTAGACAGTTTCTCATTTTTTGGGTTAAACAACTATTTTCACTCATTTTCAAAAAATCATAACAAATCGGGATTTCAATAAATCGTTATGAAACTATCAGCACTTATTCTACAAATTATGAGCTTTCCAATGAAATAAACGGATTTTTAAAATATCTTTTAGTTTTTGAGATATTAATTATTAGACAGTTTCTCATTTTTTGGGTTAAGCAACTATTTTCACTCATTTTCAAAAAATCGTAACAAATCGGGATTTAAACAAATCATTTTGAAACTATCAGCACTTATTCTACAAATTATGAGCTTTCCAATGTAAGAAACGGATTTTCAAAATATCTTTTAGTTTTTGAGATATTAATTATTATTCAGTTTCTCATTTTTTGGGTTAAGCAACAATTTACACTCATTTTCAAAAAATCATAACAAATCGGGATTTCAATAAATCATTATGAAACTATCAGCACATATTCTACAAATCATGAGCTTTCCAATGAGAGAAACGGATTTTCAAAACATCTTTTAGTTTTTGAGATATTAATTATTAGACAGTTTCTCATTTCTTGCGTTAAGCAACTATTTTTATTCATATTTAAAAAATCATAACAAATTGGGATTTCAATAAATAATTATGAAGCTATCAGCTCTTATTCTACAACTTATGAACTTTCCAATGTAACAAACTGATTTTCGAAATATCTTTTAGTTTTTGAGATATTAATTATTAGACAGTTTCTCATTTTTTGGGTAAAGCAACTATTTTCACTCATTTTCAAAAAATCATAATAAATTGGAATTTTAATGGATAATTATGAAATTATCAGCACTTATTCTACAAATTATGAGCTTTCCGATGTAAGAAACGGATTTTCAAAATATCTTTTAGTTTTTGAGATATTAATTATAACACAGTTTGTCATTTTTTGGGTTAGGCAACTATTATCACTAATTTTCAAAAAATCATAACAAATCGGAATTTCAATAAATCATTACGGAACTATCAGCAATTATTCTACAAACTATGAGCTTTCCAATGAAAGAAACGGATTTTCAAAATATCTTTTAGATTTTAAGATATTAATTATTAAACAGTTTCCCATTTTTTGGATTAAGCAATTATTTTCACTCATTTTCAAGAAATCATAACAAATCGGGATTTCAATAAATCATTATGAAAAAACTATCAGCACTTATTGTACAAATTATGAGCTTTCCAATGTAAGAAACGGATTTTCAAAATATCTTTTAGTTTTTGAGATATTAATTATTAAACAGTTTCGTATTTCTTGCATTAAGCAACTATTTTTATTCATTTTCAAAAAATCATAACAAATCGGGATTTCAATAAATCATTACGAAACTATCAGCACTTATTCTACAAATTATGAGCTTTCCAATGAAAGCAAAGGATTTTCAAAATATCTTTTAGTTTTTGAGATATTAATTATTAGACAGTTACTCATCTTTCGGGTTAAGCAATTATTTTCACTCATTTTCAAAAAATCATAACAAATCGAAATTTCAATAAATCATTACGAAACAATCAGCACTTATTCTACAAATTATGAGCTTTCCAATGAAAGCAAAGGATTTTCAAAATATTTTTTAGTTTTTGAGATATTAATTATTAGACAGTTTCTCATTTTTTGGGTTAAGCAACTATTTTCACTCATTTTCAAAAAATCATAACAAATCGGGATTTCAATAAACCATTATGAAACTATCAGCACATATTCTACAAATTATGAGCTTTTCAATGAAAGTAACGGATTTTCAAAATATCTTTTAGTTTTTGAGATATTAATTATTAGACAGTTTCTCATTTTTTTGGGATAAGCAACAATTTTCACTCATTTTCAAAAAATCACAACAAATCGGGATTTCAATAAATCATTATGAAACTATCAGCACTTATTTTACAAATTATGAGCTTTCCAATGAAGGAAACAGATTTTCAAAATATCTTTTAATTTTTGAATTATTAAGTTTTAAACAATAACTCATCTTTCGAGTTAACCACACTGAGGGAAATTATTCTTGAGTCTCAAGAAAAATTTATTCTTGAATGTATTTCTTAGAAACAAGTATAAGATATTCTTAAAACAAAAATATTTTCTTTGTTTTAAGAATAGAAATATCATCGAATGAAGCATGTCATATTCTTGGCATCGAAGAATATCAATTTTTTGTATCAAAAAAACCATTCTTGCGTCAATAATTTATAATACTCAAATGAAGAATTATACAAGATTGTTGTTACATGAATAAGTTTTTCTAAAAAGAAAGATACGTTATTCAAGACTTAAGAAATCTATTCTCGGTACGAAAATGGGGTTGTTGACGTAACACTTAGATACTCTTTTTCAAGATTATTGATTTACTTTTACTAAGAATTCGTTTTCCTGAGAATCAAGAATATTTGTATACTTGCTTTGAGAATATGCGGTTTTTCTTCACTCAACAAAATGATCTTCTTGTGGATATATAAGAATATGACAAGCTTGAGTCAAGAGTAATAATCTTCGTTCAAGAATATATTTCTCTCTGTGCAACTATTTTCACTAATTTTCAAAAAATCATAACAAATCGGGATTTCAATAAATCATTATGAAACTATCAGCACTTATTCTACAAATTATGAGCTTTCCAGCGAAAGAAACGGATTTTCAAAATATCTTTTAGTCTTTCAGATATTAATTATTAGACAGTTACTCATCTTTCGGGTTAAGCAATTATTTTCACCCATTTTCAAAAAATCATAACAAATTGGGATTTCAATGAATCATTATGAAAGTATCACCACTCATTCTACAAATTATGAGCTTTCCAGTGAAAGAAACGGATTTTCAAAACATCTTTTAGCTTTTGAGATATTAATTATTAGACAGTTTGTCATTTTTTGGGTTAAGCAACTATTTTCACTAATTTTCAAAAAATCATAACAAATCGAGATTTCAATAAATCATTATGAAACTATCACCACTCAATCTACAAATTATGAGCTTTCCAATGAAGGAAACAGATTTTTAAAATATCTTTTAGTCTTTGAGAATTATTGAGAACTATTAATTATTAGACAGTTACTCATCTTTCCGGTTAAGCAATTATTTTCACTCATTTTCAAAAAATCATAACAAATCGGAATATCAATAAATCATTATGAAAGTATCACTACTTATCCTGCAAATTATGAGCTTTCCAATGAAAGAAACGGATATTCATAATATCTTTTAGTTTTTGAGATATTAATTATTAAACAATTTGCCATTTTTTAGGTTAAGCAACTATTTTCACTCATTTTCAAAAAATCATAACAAATCGGGATTTCAATAAATCATTATGAAACTATCAGCACGCATTCTACAAATTATGAGCTTTCCAATGAATTTAACGGATTTTCAAAATATCTTTTAGATTTTGAGATATTAATTATTAGACAGTTACGCATCTTTCGGGTAAAGCAATTATTTTCACTCATTTTCAAAAAATCATAACAAATCGGGATTTCAATAAATCATTATGAAACTATCAGCAGTTATTCTACAAATTATGAGCTTTTTAATGAAAGAAACGGATTTTCAAAATATCTTTTAGATTTTGAGATATTAATTATTAAACAGTTTCTCATTTCTTGCATTTAGCAACTATTTTTATTCATATTCAAAAAATCATAACAAATCGGGATTTCAATAAATCGTTATGAAACTATCAGCACTTATTCTACAAATTATGAGCTTTTCAATGAAAGAAACGGATTTTCAAAATATCTTTTAGTTTTTGAGATTTTAATTATTAGACAGTTTACCATTTTTTAGGTTAAGCAACTATTTTCACTCATATTCAAAAAATCATAACAAATCGGGATTTCAATAAATCATTATGAAGCTATCAGCACTTATTGTACAAATTATGAGTTTTCCTATGTAACAAACGGATTTTCGAAATATCTTTTAGTTTTTGAGGTATTAATTATTAGACAGTTTCTCATTTTTTGGGTTAAGCAACTATTTTCACTCATTTTCAAAAAATCATAACAAATCGGAATTTTAATAAATCATTTTGAAACTATCAGCAGTTATTCTACGAATTATGAGCTTTCCAATGTAACAAACGGATTTTTAAAATATCTGTTAGGTATTGAGTAATTATGTTTTAAACAATTACTCATTTTTAAATGTACTATAAGTGTATTTAATGAAGCCAAAATCGACAGGGTAGTTTTTAAATTATTCCAAAAAAGTAGGGGTAGTTTTTTACTGCCTCTACTGGGATTGAGTATACTGTGTTCTCTAATACAACAAATATTAATTATTATAAGGTTTTATTTCTTAATATTTAATATTAATATTAATTATTACAAAACATGCTTTCAAATATTCCGCCATTTCAGTTACACTGCACTTATTGAACTTAAGCTTTGTTCGTTGGGACTGCACTACTTGCACTCACTTGCACTATGCAGTTTAGTGCAGATATTGTGTGTTCGTTGGGGATAGTGCAGTTTAGTGCAGTTGCACTCATACTGTTCGTTGGGCCAGGTGCAGTGCAATTTAGTGCAGCCGGTGCAAGTTAGTGCAGATTTTGTTGCACCTGCTTTCGATTAAGTTCAATAAGTGCAGTGTAACTAAAATGGCGGAATATTTGAAAACGTGTTTTGTAATAA